GCCAAATACATAATGTGTTTTTTTTAAGGAAGTTGTGATACACCTGCCCGTCAGGTGAACGTTACAGGTGTGTAACACTACAGAAAACACGATAATAACACAAAAATGCACAACGAGGCACAGAGTTAGGCCACATATTAAATAACGAAAAGGCCAAAAAAAGTTGAGGTGAGCCAACACCTGAGACGGGGACGACCAACGACGTGGAACCTCAAACCCTTTGTGTGGACCAACAATAGCAACAACAGCCGTTCAGTTCATCCTGTGAGCTGCGTCGTCCTCCTATTGTGGGTCAGAGCTCGTTGTCAGGTTGTTCAGGAGACGGCAGACAAGAGGAGAATAAACCTACAGAAACGTTTCATCCGTCGTCAGGTCTGCTGCTGTGAAGCTGCTTTAGACTCGCTGGAGGTGTTCTCTTGTGTCTCAGAAAAATGTCCATGAAGGGGAACAGAAACACCTTTTAAACATAAGTTCTATCAGAGGGAACACCTGGACGGGTCGGGTCTTCTTCTTTGAGGTTTCTTAGCAGTTTTATTTCCATGCAGCCTGTGGCGCCCCCTTCTGACACCAAAGTTTATTCACCCCAAAACCTACTAAAAGACTCACTGTTGACTCATGAGATCTCATCCAGAAACATTCTGTCACAGCAGTTCTGATATTTAACGTAGAGCGTCTCAGGCTCGGAGGTCATTCAGCGCCCAGCCGTCCCTGTCATGGTGCCCTCTATGTTCAGGAAGCTCTAAACCGCGACCCTACAACCCTCCTGTGTCTGCTGCAGGTGATCGTGGAGAAGGTCTCCGGCTCCCAGATCGTGGACATCGATAAGAGGAAGTACCTGGTGCCGTCCGACATCACGGTGGCCCAGTTCATGTGGATCATCAGGAAACGCATCCAGCTGCCTTCAGAGAAAGCCATCTTCCTGTTCGTCGACAAAACCGTCCCCCAGTCCAGGTGAGAGCGGTCAGAAGGTGAAGGTCAGCCTGTTTCCTGCTTTAGCTTCGTGCTAACGGTCGACATCTTTTAAGAGCGTCAGTCAACCCCAGAGCCTCGTTTATATACGGATCCATATAAATGAGACACTTTAGAGGTTTTATAGTACTTCTGGTTGGAGGTCCTGGACCTCCTAAGAGTCTCTGTCATGGTCCTGTTGCTGCTAAACTCCCACAATGCTCTCTGCTGACACAATCAACAACCACAGGAGCAGCAGACGTGACCCAGCCCTGGTTAGCATTCAGCTAGCTCCTCTGTGTGACTAATACGACATCGTTGGTCGTAGGTTGTATCACAAGTACACAGTTTTTACACCACTGGCAGCTTAACTGTATTTGGTCTCAAAATACGTTATTCAGCTTTTAAACCTCCAGATGCAGTCGTGACTCGATAACCCGACACTAAATGTAAAACCTTCTTCTATGTCAGACAGCAAGGCTGTCGGATTGTCAAGAGTCAGATTATCGGGTCACGACTGCACTGGAGTTGTCTTCAGAGCTGTGAGGTTTAAACCTGCTGACGCTGAGTCCAGACCTGAGAGCCTTCCAGTGGAGGCTAAGTGCTGCCGACGAGCACGGCTGGTCCATCTGTGAGTGGAGAGCAGCAGCATGTGGCTGATGATGGAGTAATCGATCTCCCTGTGAACCAGGATGGAGCCACACCTTCACTCTCAATTTACACTCATCAAGAAAACACTGACGTTTGTGCTGACAGCCGTCGACACACTTAGAGATGCAGCTTCACAGAGATGATCAGAGTCTGACCTGCTTCTCACAGCTTTGAATCAGCAGCTACGGATCTCCAGACGACGGACCCGAGCTTCTGTCAGAACAAACCAGAATCCGGCTGCCAGTTATGTAGAAACGTGTCATAAATCAACTCTCCAGTGATTTACATGAGAACTGTCCATTTGAAAATAGTTGAGAATGTTGATTATCTTTGATTATTTCAGACTGTGCTGGTCGTAAAACTGATCTGGTGTCGGGTTCTACCAGAACTCAGACGTGTTCTTCATCAAAAACTGGTCAAATTACATGAAATTCATCTAAATTACATAAAAATGGTCCCAAATTGCTCAAACTTTGCACAATAATGAACAAATACATGACAATTATCTCTAATTATTTTAAAAACTGTTGAAAATTACTTGAATAATTATTCAAAACTACATGAAAGTCGTCCTAAATGACTCCGTATCCGTTCAGTGTTTTAGTCTTTAGACGTTGTGTTGAGGAAATTTTCTATGATCTACATAAAGTCCAGTAGTCTGAGCTGTCTTTGTCTCGTTTTATTCAAAGCTTTGAAGGTACAGGTCATACAGAATGCAAGCAGTCTGCAGGAGAGTACACATGAGTGCAGGCAGCATAGTATTCTTATACATGTACAGGCGTGGTCTTTACTTCAACGGTAGTAGAACAATCCCATGCTGGAAAACAAGAGCTGGGTGTACAGGGTGTACTCATCCACAGACATTAGAAGACTAAACACACTGGATCAGGCATCAAAAGTCTAAACACATGGGAAACACAACTTCTTCTTCCCATAGACAGCCACTAGTGTTTACCTACATGTTATGGGAACACATTTTGGGCCTGTAACCTTTCCACTCAGCTTTAATGAAACTTAGAGAAACTCGCTCTAACATTCTTCATGCAGATGCAGTATTTTTCCATTACAGTTGACTCCTGGATGGATGTAGAGCTGATTTAGTTTTTAACAGAACTCAGATGTGTTTTTCATCCATCAAACATTGTTAACAGTGACATGAAAGTTGTCCAGAACTACAGATAAACTGCCAAAGATGACTCACAGATGGTTTAAACTCGTCTAGAAGGTCTGATATAACTCCAGAAATGGTTCAAAGTTACTCAAATTCATCCAAATCTTCAGACTTATTATTATTATTAGAAATGTAACTTCTGAGGCTCAGAAATGATGAAAAAAGTCCATTAAAGTGATCAATCTGGACCCTCCTCTGTGGACTTGAAGGACCTGGACCTCTGGAACGTTCTCAGTCTGAAGGTAGAACTCTGGTCAGTAGATAAAGGTTCTGCAGGAGGACACAGAGCAGCTCCTCCGGCCAGGTTTCAGTCCGTCCAGACGGATTCAGGATTACTTATTAATAGATTGATATAAAACACGTGGAAGACGTTTGGACTCGTCGCAGTGAAACATTAACAACAGCTTCGTCTCTGTTTATCTGAACAGAGCAGAGGAATGATGATTCCTACCATCAGGAACGTCTGTGCTTCTCCTGCCAGGACAATGTCTGGTGCATAAACTAACATTTGTTGCTGTTATTTGCATAATCATGAGCCAACGAGCCCTGCTCAGCGTTTTAATTGGAACATATCAGTGTCTTGATTTGATGAAGACCACGTGATGTGAAATACAACATGAATAAAATCAGTTTTACACATTCACAAGGAAAAATAGTTTCTGTGCTTTGTTAGATTTTGAGGCCATAAATCTGAATCTATAAAACTTTTAAGTGTTGAACATAAAGCTGAACTCTGAGGACGCTGCTTCACGCCTGAACCAGTCACCTGAGCTGCTTTCTACGTCCTGAAGACAAAGCTGAGGGCAAAAACGCCCACCAACCAGCATTCAGTGACAGCAGACTTAAATGATCTTCATGTTTATTATGTTCATCTGTGAAGTTGCTCTGAAGTCTGAAAAAGAATTCCTCAATGGTTGAAGCAACATTTTTGATAAATCCTGGAATTAAAGCTGAAGTTCTGCATTTGGAGGCAAAATGACAGAAACTGTCCAATCACGCCTGGAGCTGACAACAAAAGTAAAAGTAAATGATGAAAGGGAGAAAAAGTGAGGACATGAACCGAATATTCGAGTATTCATTTATTTTTAAATATATT